TTTTTTATCAAAGTAAACACTATAATTAACAATTTAAACGAAATGATCAAATCAGTCTCAGGGTGAGGCAAAAGTCATACGGAAAAAAAATAAAACACGCGGAAATTTTTATGCAGATTCAAAATATGACACAAGGCAAACAAGTCCACATTTAAATGCGCCCATCGGTGGTAAAGTATTCATACGTAAATGTGTCACTACGGTGAAGAAGAAGCTGATACAACTTTAGAATTTTACACGAATTAGGGCCAAGTGGATCAAAGGAGCAAAATTGGTAAACCATCGGAGGCTCACCAATTTGGCGCTTAATAAAAACATGAAAAAGTAAAAATAAATTGCAGTCACGAAAAAAAAAAGGATTGCTTAACTTATCACGATGCATGTTCAACGAGTTAACAAAAATAGGTTGCGTATCTGTGCATTTACGCATCGTGTGAAGACAAAAAAAACGGTACACAATCGAATGTTAAAAAAGCAACAAGATTCGAATGAGTGCCCTGCGAAAAGTTATCTAAAGTGTAGTAGGCCCCCCCCTATGCGATACGGAAAAACATAAAATAGGGAAGCTCCCAAAAGCATGACCTTTAATCACGTCATGGCCTAGGTCTGAGCTTTACGGTGCTATATTTTCACATCATTTCTGATGTTCCCCCGTTTGGTGACCATTAATTAGTGTTCACTGCAATACTGTCTAATTTCTTCATAATCTACGGAGCACTTCTCCCTAATTTCTTTATCGCTGGAAAACTTAAGGAGAAAGTACTCCCTTATTTTATTTACGTCATTGGCAAAATTGTCAAATACGCGGAAGTTCCTTTTGGACATTTCTTCGTCGCAGCTTTTAAAGTCGAGATAATTGTTGTCATTCAAGGGCGAGTTCACGTTACTCCTAAAATAATCGATAACGTACTGAAAGAACCCTTTCCTTTTTATCTCAACGAAATCGGACACATTAATGAAATTCTTCATTTTGTGTAATTTGCTCATCCTATATGTGTCATTGCGCAAAGTTCTCTCTTTTGGTTGCTTTTTCTTAGCCCACTGAGAATTCGCTGTCAGTTGCACACTTGACAATTTCGCGCCCGCCTTGCGGGAATAATTGCACATATATGAGTTCGCATTGTCAACTTTGTCACTTTTGCTAGAAGACGCGTGGGACGCGTGAACTGTTTTATATTCCTTAAAAATTGCCTTCTTGGAGTTTTTTAAAATATCGTTCATTTTATTGAGAAGTATTTTGGGGCAATTAATTAATTCATCGAATATTTTTATAATTTTGTATTTTTTGTCAAAGCACTCCATTCCAGAGGTTAGCTGATCCGTTATGGATTCATACTCTTGGTCGAACGTAAATATGTTGTTATTTATGATATAATACTCCTTCATGGATTCTATCTTTCTCACCATATCAGACATTCCAATGTTCATCAATTGAAATATCACATATTTTACAAAGGTGCATATATGTGCCTCCAGTTTTTCAACATCCTTGTCAAAACTCTGAATAACAAAAAGCAATCCACTTAATCCATAGCGTGTGAAAAATGGTTTCACTTCAACCATGTAACCATCATTATATCTTAGTTTAGAAACTTTAACAAAATCTGATGATATTAAATCAACGATAATGTTAATTAAAACATCGCTTAACATACTTTCTGATTCGATTGTGTAGGACACTATTATTGAGCTGCTCCCATTTTCAGACATATTCGGGATATTTATTTCGACATCTTCATTTTGAACTAACTTGCTCGTGTAGTACGTGGACTCGCTTCTTCTTATAACTCCATTTGTCACTTTCTTTATGAATGACTCCGACAGGTTAACTAGGTATTCTATCCCTACCCCGTTGTGAGATATTTTAAAGGCATCTTCTGCAGACGCGTGCTCTCTGAGCTTCTCTTGCGCGTCCAGCCTCTTATCTCGCTTCTCCCACTGCGAAGCAGTGCCTTTATTATTCGCCTCGGCGTAAGGAATCAGACTCGATCTGTGCCCATCTCCATTAACACTAACGTTAGCATTAGTATTAGCATTAACATTAAGATGATCACTGCTGCTATTCGGAACGCCGCTGCCCCCATTGTCAGCATTCTGGTCCATGTAGCCACTTGCATTTCCGTTCTCCTTTCCCGTCGTCATTGCAATATTTCCATATATAAATACGATAACATAATTTCTATGAAAAAACTCAGCTACATATTTGGTGTAATCCTTATATGAGGGATAAAAGAAGTATGCGCTTAAAAGGTCATCCATTTCCTTGTCCGTTGGCTCATATTGGTCAAATAAGGAATGCATAATTTTTAACGTATTTGCTGCTCCCAATTCTCTGCTACTCCTCACGTACATATTTAACTCATCATAAGCATCGGCAAATTCCTCTTTGGAGGGGGTTTCTTTCACTGATAAGAGGTTCCCTAGTTTGCTAAACAATTCTGCGAAATGATAGCTGTTGGTGTCCACGTGTAGAGTGTACGATTCTGCGTTCCGCTTGATATGCACATTTACCGAACAGCTAGCATAATCAGTGAGGAAGAGTTTTATTTTTTGTCTCAAAATTATAATGTGTATACGGGAAAAAATAGCCTCATAAAAAGTAAACTTTTCAGAAGGGAAATAAAAAATGAAATCCGCTTTCACTTTTGAAGCATCTGTTAGACCTCTTTTAAAATAAACATTGTACCCGTACGATGATTTAATCAAACAAGGCATGCTATACAAGACGCTAGCTCTGAATTCATTCTTGTTTTCCTCAGACACAAACATTGGTTTAGTGTCCGAAAATTCAAAGTTTTCTCTATTGCTGTATGGGACACAGAAAAATGATTCTTCATGCAAAACGTTGTCATGGTCAAAGCTGTTGAAAGGGCAAACTCTTATTTCTGGAAGTGCAATATTTACATCGTTTGTAACTCCCCCTTGGCCAACCAAATATGGATTTTCCCCTAAAGCATACGTTATGGTAGTGTTCGGAATTTGACTCTGGTTTGTTAAGCTGAATGCATCTACAACGTTTATAATATTTAAATTATCATTTCTAATTAGAGATCCCACCAAACTTGTTATTTTAATGTGATTGCGAAAGTCATTTTTATGCTTGTCTTCAATTAAACTATCAATGGTTAAAAGGGAAGATGGGTCATCAGCATGAACCAGCAGTCTGTTCGAATAAATTACTAAATCATTAAGGCTTACATTAACATTGTCAGTGTTAAAATTCAAATCGGTGACCAATGCCTTCTCCCTGTAATAGTCAAGGATGTATTTACTTATACCTTTATCTAAACTATCACGATCAAATAATTTGCTTATTTCGTTAACGAACACATTGCATATGTGTATCAAATGAGCGAGGTTGGTTTTCCCCCTTTGCGTCATTTTTACCAATATTCCGAAATTCAAGTAGTATTTATTACATATGCTGGTAACCTTCAAATCATAGACATATTTATTTTCCACAGATATTTTATAATAAAATCCGTTCCTTCTGAAGTCAGAAAATATTTCACGTAAAAATGTCATTGATCCGAATTCTTCAATTTTTTTACACAACTCAGCATTAGTTTTGGAGCTCCAGTATAGGTAAAGTTGATCCCCCCATTCTTTTTTTTTTATGATTTCAACATACCTGCTCTTCTGGTTTAAATCAAGCGAGTAATGAAGCTCATTCATAGATTGGAGGAACGCAGCTTCTTCCTTTTGATTTCGCCTCTCCATGTAGATGAAATTTGCATCATTATAACTGTCTTTTTTCCCATTAAAATTTACCCTTTCTGATTCCATACGATTAATTTGTTTCTCTATACCATCCCCATCGATGGGGTAGCTCTCATTTTTTATCTTTCCGAATATTTGGACAACCATATTTTCAACATCTTTCATGTTGTAGTGATCGGAAGTATTTACCTTGTTTCCTAGCAGTATTGTCAGTGACATATTTCTTGGCTGATAACATTTTTTATGAAATGCAGTCAAAATGTTTTTTATGCTTAGCCTATTCTTTAAAACGTTTTCACACAAGGTGGTGTAGTTTCCATTGACGAAAAATTTCGAATACTTAAAATCTGTGATGTACTGACTAGCAATTTTCAGGCAAGATTCAAGATTATTTTCCATAGAAATGTATTTATAATTAATTTCTTTAACTTCATTTTGTATATGTTCTTCACTAAATACAGGGTAAAACAAATTTTCTGCAAATAAATTAAGCAAATGGTAAATGTCTTCAGAATGTGCAGTTGCATAGTAACTAGTAAAGGATTCACTAGTATAGCTGTTACATTTTGATGAATACTTTCCCAATTCGCTTAATAGTGTTGTGTTTCTTTTTTCAGATTTGTAAAAAATAGCATGATGCAAT